CTTTTCTAGCTTTGAGAATTTGTAAAAATAAAAATGAACAAAAAAGATTTGTGTATATTTAATTAAACACTGGTGTATTTACTATTGGTCCCATTTCTTCAATTGCTGCAACAGTCATTTAGTAACAGTTCACCAGCAGGTTCAGAGGTGCGTTTTGTTTTCTGAATTTGTGTATTTTTCCGCAGGCCTGCGCTCCCCTCTACCAGTGGTCGACCTTCGGCTTCAGTGACCGGGAGCCTGTGGGAACATGCTACCTAAAGAAGGGCGGGACAGTGGTGGAATACTCACCCTGCAGATCCAGTATGTTTTTATTTAGATGTTTGATGCTTGTCTTGGAGGTTAAAAATCAAAGATGTACAGTTGTTCTGTTTGCAGTTTGTTTGGGAACACAAATGATGTCAGAATTCAGCTTGCAGGCAAAGTTAATGAAAATAGGAACAACTTTGTCAATATGTGCAACATATGTAATGACCACGTTTTGTATTGTCCTAAACCTTTCCCTAATGTTTAAAAAGAAGTATGAGGGCCCTTTTAACAGCAATCTTTTTAGATTAAATGATTTGCTTTCGGCTCCTGAACAATCTTCACAGAATATGGGAGCTGTGTTTGTAGCCATCCTTTCTGCTTTTTCTGCAGTTAGCTCTTAGCTCATTTCACTCATTTATTTGGATGATTAAATGTTGTGTGTTAAAAATTGAGGCAGTTAATAAACAAGGATACCAGCTTGGTCACACACTGCTGTGGGACGGCATCCCGTTCTGTATTCAGGCAACTCACTGCATCCTCTTCACCTTTGACCTCTACATGTCATCCTTGAGGACAGAGTGTTGAGATTTGTCTCCTTACTTCTTTTGCTAAATCTATTTACTGATAAGAAGTGTGTTTAGATGGAAAAAGCAGATGACATTAAGCGAAAGGTTTACAAAAAATAACAAGAAATAACCTTTTTTTTTAGCGATGTACTGATGTGATTCTAGTTATCAACTCTAGGTACTTATGAGGATATCTTTACATGGGCACCATTGAAATTTGTGACTAAACCCTAAAACAACAAACTGATACGATGGAAAGCTGTGGTGGTTGTTCTGCTGAACAGCTGTAACAGCTCCACCTTCTTAATCAAGTGTAATAAATGTTTCAATCTTTTGTTTCTAATGATTCTTCCTTTTTTTCAGACTACCACACCCCGGAGGGCCAAGGTTTCTGCCAGGCTGGCTTTAGTGCAGACTTTGTTAAGGTAGGCACGCAGCACCAACCCAGACAGGCTATTATTTATGAACTTACTGAACACCTTTGCCAGGAAAGCTTACAGACATATGAAAAGGTTTGGGCACCCCTATTAATCTTAATTATTTTATTTCTAAATATTTGGGTGTTTGCAATTGTTTCAATTTGATATATCTAATAACTGATGGACACGGTAATATTTCAGTATTTAATTGAGGTTTATTGGACTAACAGAAAATGTGCAGTATGCATTAAAATTAAATTTGACAGATGCAAAAATGTGGGTACCCTAATCATTTGTTGATTTATATACCCATTATAATTATAATTAATTATAATACCTATTTGTAAAATGTTTTCTCACTTTTCTGTAGTGAGGAACTGTTGATCAAAACATTTGATTTCATGTTCAGAACTGTTAGAAATGTTGGATGCCTGTTCCAGGTTTTTCAAAGACTAAAATAAATTTGACAAATAAAATAAATGACATTATTAAGACATTTATTTCTAAATCTATTTTCTATCAACATTAAACGTCTAGAACCAATTCTGAGTGATTTATATACTGTATGTTAGGACAGCATCTACTGTTTACTGTATATTTAGCTGCTTTCAAACATCAGAGCAGAGCAGCCACTCATTTTACTCAACTAGGAGAGGTGATATTTAACAACAGTATAACTCATGTAAAAATAAAAATAAAATACAGTACAGTTAAACTACTCCTAAATGGATTTATTTTCCAAAAAGTTACTCAGCTGAGTAATTGTAACTATTAAGTACCCACCTTTAAATAAAACACAATAGATAAGTAAATAAATTAATACAATTATTATAAAGCTGAGATAAAAGGGCCAAAAATTACAGATTAAAACGAGGAATAATTAGGAAAAGATAATCTTATTTATTATTTATAAAAAGGTAACAGACATACAGGAGGTTCATTTTCTTTCTGCTCTTGCTGTTGTTTTCTTTTTTTTTATAATAAAGTTAGAAGAGTTTCCTGGAATTTCTGGTTCATATTTGTTTAACTTTGAAGAATCAGCTGTTACTGTTTTTCAAAAGTCAGAATGACTAAAAGTATTTGGGTTTTTGCCCGTTTAGATCATGAATGTGTTGTTGCTTTCTGATTCATCCTAATCTTAGAGGGTTTAATGTTTGACCCACTGAGGCAGTTTTTTATTAAACCAGGAATGTCTTTCTTTTGCCTCTCCTGATTTTATGAACTAAAGAAGAAGTGAAAGTAACAGAATCTGTTTTTCCTTGTTTTTTTTCTGGTTGTGGCGTCAGAAAAACAAAAGAAGAGTGGTTGTGGGAGGACCAGGCAGCTTCTACTGGCAGGGTGAGTGTTCAGCTGAATCCAACGCTACTGGAAAAAGGTTCAGATCTGGATGAATCAGCGTTTCTCTTTTTTTCAAGTACAGGGGCAAACATTTACTCTAAGAAACTCATTTATAGGCAACGCCTTCAAAATAAAGTTTGCTTTATTCATTTTGAATAAAGAAGTGTATCCGTATAGATTTCTATTCTGACCGGCATTTAATCAAGCAATAAAAATGTAGAACTTTCCTGGTTTATAATGCCACAGCTTCCAGCAGCTAAAAACAGGAACAGATTTATGCAAAAACATCTTTAGAAAAAATAAAGCACTAATCAAAAAAATGCAAAAATCTAATTTTAGCTTAAATAACAGAAAAGGGTCTTATTATTAAATTTTTTACATGTATAAAATGACTTCTGTTATGTTTTTTTTTTTTTTTTTTTTATATTGAATGATATGGAGTTACTGGTTGATGGATTTATTTGGACAAACCTGGACCCGCCAATCTGTTCCCATCCGTTTCCTTCCTTTAAAAACAACACCCAGCCAACTGATGGTTTTATCTATTTTTTATGTTCACTTTTTTTTTTTTTTTTACATAAATTGTAAAAAGTCTAGCTAAAGCAGATGGTGTCAAATATTTTTAGGAGGGGTTGCTTTGGTTAGGATTTAAGTTGAACTGTTTAATCAGTGTTGATAAAGACATAGGTGCATAGGTGCCGAAACGTCTTCCAAAAAAAAAAACCTGAGTGTAAGTCTGATTACCTTCCAATGATAGCCTGCTGTGGTTGTTTCATCTGTAGTTTCTATAAATGCAGTTTAAAGTCCATTTTAATGTTCTCTAATGAATTCTAATTCAGTTCTAGTGTTTTTATTATTTTAGCTTAATTTGCCTGTTCTTGCATTAAAAGATGTTTTATGTTCTGTTTGTAAAAAATATAGCCTTCAAATACCTAAAAGTCTGCCAATAACTGTTTTATTTCTGTTAGGGTTGCACCGATTGATCGGCCGTAATTTCTTTAATTTTGGAAGATTGATGTGAAACCGAACCCGTTATCAATGCTATAAACATAAAGTTTATTATTTGAGAAAAGTTTTTTTATTTTTTCATAAGTACAGTTAAATGTTTTTCAGTAAAATAAGATTTAAATATCGAAGGTGTTTGGTGATTTTATAACAACTACAAGTGTTAGTTATAAAAGAAGAAAAAGAAATTTGTAAAAATGGGAATCGGCATGTCAGGCTTTTTAAAAGAACGGTGATCGGCCAAAAACCTGCAATCGATGCCTCTAGAAACGCATTTCCTGGGAGAAATGTGGCACACTTTGCTGGGATGCCATTCATCATTCAGATGTTAGGGTCAGAATAACTGTTTAACTCTGAGCTCTGCTTTTTGGCTCAAATCTAACTTTACAGCAGCAATCCGTAGCGGCGCTCACATGACTGCAGGTTACCGTCACTCAGGAACAAGGCAGCAAGATTCTCTAACTCCTTTGTTTGGGGCAGAGACTGATGTTGAGTTTAATTTTTATTCAGACTTTCCAACCTGCAAGTAGGAAATTTCATCTGGAAGGTTCTCAAAGTTGAAATCTCTAATTGTAGGTGAACATATTTAAGATGGACGCTACTCCCATCAACAGTAGCTAGACTATCTATCACACTTTGGTACATATTGAAGAAGTACTAAAACAGTAGTCTTTCAGTTAGTTTTTCATGTACAATATTTAGTGTTAGTGACACGTTTCTGTGCCGTCCATATGCACCCAAATAGCACTTAGAGAAGTGGTTGTGTCGTTACATTAGACTAGGTCAATTATAAACAATGCAGAATATGAGGGCACACAAGCAGGAAATCTCAACAATGTAGAGCAATACATCTTCAGGCTGATATTTTTGGCTGATATTTGAGTTTTCTTCTTGTTTAGGCATCAACAGATCAATGAATGCTTTCCCCAATTCATTAGTGTTCAGCAGCCGTGTACAGAGATCTCTTGAAGTGCCAACATTGCTGCTTCATCCATTTGCTACCGTTGTTGGTGTTGTCTTTGATTTAATTATAAATGTTTCTTTTTGTTTAAATTGACATTTATGTGACATTTTCATATAAAACATAGGAAGAAAATGTAATATTGGCTTTAAGAATCAGCCCAAAAAAAAAAAAAAATGTCAGCAGATAATGTGTATAATTTAAAACCTGCTGGTAAAGATTCTCAGTCATCCAGGTCATAAGAAAATTAAAAACAGTCCACTGGACTCTGTTGGATTTGGCTCTATGTGTTCTATTATTTATTATTTTCCGTTCCAATTTGCATGTTTTCAAAACAGAAACACGGCTTTGTTGGGCTACTGTATAAAACCGGGAACTCAAAGCTATTCCTGACATTTTTAATTGAAAAAGCTTCCTGGATGGGAAGCAAAATGTCTTCAAACTTGGATACAAAGTCCAGTGGATTGTTTTTTAATGTTCTTTTTTTGGAATTAATAAAAACCTATATTGGTTGATGTCTTATTGGAATGCTGTGACTCCTGCCCATCCTCTGCATGTGCAGCAGCAGGTTAAATACTGACATGCTGTGTGAGGCGGTTCAGAGCGGTCGCTCTGAATGTGAGCAGTTTACTAGAATCCTGCTTCCCGCACCATGATTTGCTGCTTTATCTCAAACTGGACAGTAGCTGACATCATCAGCACCTTAAGACTTAAATGAGGAGGTGAGGTTGAGGTGGGCTGAGCTGCAGACGATGTGTCCATAACAGCGGATGGTTCTAATCCCTGTTTGTCTGTCTGACCTCAGAGGGTGTGACAGCGGCTGCATCCTGAACGCTGAGTCAGGAGCACACATGTTTTCTGGCTGAGCGTAGAGTCTCCTCCTCTGCTGTTCTATTAATTATTGTTTCCTGTTGAGTCAACACTCACAATTACACAACTAAACACACAAAAATACACACCTGTCTGTTTCTGATTAGACGGCTGTTGGGCACCGTGTCACCAGGGCTTCTTTAATTAGGTCGGGGTTTTTTTCTTCCCCTAAACCACCAAACCAAAACTGTGTTTTCAAAACTTCTCTTTTACTTGTTCTCTTTTACCTCTGTGCATTTTTCTTCATCCTCTGTTTTCTTAGGTTTTGTAGTTTCTGTGCTCCTGAGCTGCACTTTGTTCCTCATAGTTTCCTCTTCTCTCCTCAGGCCAGTTGATCTCAGATGAGGTCTCTGAGATTCTCGCCCGTTTCCAAAACGAATACGTGACTCAGTACACAAACACACGTTCCACCAAATCAGCTGGTGCCCAGTATGACGACAGCTACCTCGGTAATCTCACACACACACTCAATTAAAACACTTATTGTGATGTAATCCCTGAGGTATAAGGGACTCAAAATATTTCATAAAAAAATGTAAAATAAAATAAGATGTAATATGTATTTATTAGTCTAACAAAAATTATTCAGGTATTAAACATGGAATTTAAGTAAAACATGCAGAAATGAATAATTAAATAAAGAAATAAACATTTAAAATGATAAATAGATTAATTGAATGTCATTAAATAAAAGATCTATAAAAATAACTATAATTGTTTTACTTTAAATGTATTAATAAATATATTGTGAAATGATTGAATGATAGTATAAAGCCCCCCCCGGCGCTTTAAACATTTCACAAAGATCATCTTATTTGAAGGACTATGGAGTGATTTTTGGTCCTTTATTGTTGCAAGAAAATAACATTTTTTTATAATTTTAAATAAAAATATAATAATTTTTTTACTCAAAATGTTTTAAGAGTAACTTTGTTGTTCTCTTTTGTTTTGTCCATCCATTTTTACATATTTCAAATGTATGTTACATATTTTATTAATTTTATTTCACAGATTTTTCTTTTTACTTTTTTGTTTTTAATATTTCTTCTTACATGGAGTGTCTTAATCAGGCCACAAAACGAGGTCTTTCACTTTAAGAAAGACAGATCGATGTGGGAGACATTACTGGCCTTCATTGTTTCAGCCTTTCTCATCCAACATTAGTGTCTGTCCTCAAAAGTTTTTACTTTAAGAATGGTCAGATTAAATAACGATATTAACCTTCAGATGTCGGATGCAGCTCTACTGTTGGGGCATCTGTGTAGCATTGAACCATATGGGTTAAATGTGGGATGTTCTTCAGGTTCCTCAGAGTGTGAATACTTTAAGCAATAAACTGTATTGATTTTTTTTTCTGCTACAAACGTTACTCTGAAAGCTGGAGACCTGGAAGATCAGAGGATTTTTATTTAGTTTTTAATCTCTACATATCTCTCTGTTGAACAGGATACTCTGTGACAGTCGGGGATTTCAACGAGGATGGAGAGGAAGGTAAGATCATGCTGATTCAGCACTTCTAACGGGTGTTTAAGGAAGCACCTGTTCATTTAGTGTTTTCCTTCATCACCTGTTCACCTGAGAACTGCTTAGTGTTTACAAATAAAGACATTTCTAAAGTTTAACTTGGCTAATTGCTGGTAATATAGGACATTAGTTGGAAAACCTCATTTAGCTCAGTGTTTCAGATTTGTTAACTCAGGGTCAGATAACCTTTAGTGAAAAATAACATGGTTGTGCTATATTTGTTAATATTATTATATAAACGATAAAGTTGTACTATAATTATGTTTAAAATGTTAGAAAATGTCTAAATTATGTCAGCCAGAAAAGCTAGAACCAAATCATACTGCCTACATTTTGTCTAATTTTACAATTTCATATGCCCTAAAAATGCTATTTAAAAAACAGCTGTAAAAATCCATTGTAGGGCTTCATAATATGTATCACTGATTCTTGAAACTTTGGCAAAAACATGTCCCACTAAGAAAAGTGCTAATTCTGTTGGAAAGAAATAACATTTTCGCACAGTCTGACGGTGGTGACAAAAAACTACAAATGGTTCTCAACGGAGGCTAGAAAATAATTGTTGATCTGTAATGTTTCATTAACCTCTTTTATATTTTTATTTATGTGATTTCTTCCATATTGTATAACCCTAGGG